ATACACTGCAATGTATAATTGTTATGCTGTATTTTTTTTTTTTTAATTTCAAATAATTTTGAGCCACAGTTGGTTGAATCACAGATGTAGAACCCTTCATGAGTATATTGGTCTGTATTTTTCTCTTAAAATTGTGGCCTCTTTAAGTCAGCTGGCGATTTTTCTACTGTATTCTATTAATTGGAATAAATTGTGTAAAATTATTGCTCTTTCTTAAATGCATGGATAAATTTATCAGTGACCCTATATGACTGTTGTGTTTTGGAGAGGATTTTAGTAGCCAAGTCATTCTCTTTGACAGATAGTCGTAGTCAGATTTATTTCTTGGTTTTATTTCTCTAAGTTGCATTTTTCAAAGAATTTGTCCACATAATTTTTTCTTGGCATAAAATTGCTCACAAAATCCTATTACCAACTTTTTTTTTTTTTTTTTTTGTGGGGGGATGAAGTCTCGCTCTGTCGCCCAGGCTAGAGTGCAGTGGGGTGATCTTGGCTCACTGCCTCTTGGATTCAAGCAATTCTTGTGCCTCAGCCTCCTAAGTAGCTGGGACTACAGGTGCACGCCAGCATGCCCGGCTAATTTTTGTATTTTTTCTTTTATTAGAGATGGGGTTTCGCCATGTTGGCTGGGCTGGTCTTGAACTCCAGGCCTCAAGTGATCCACCCACCTCGGCCTCCCAAAGTGTTGGGATTACAGGCAAGAGCCACCACACCCAGCCCTATTACCAAATTTTTTGCTTTTTCACTACTGCTGTGTATAATTTGTGTTTTCTCCCTATTATTCTTGCTAGAGACTTAACAATTTTGTTTCTTTTCAAAGCCCCAATCTGTGGTTTTGTTGACTTATTTCTATTATATTTTTATTTACTATTTCATTGATTTTTGGTCTTAATGTTTCCCTCCAACTTTATTTGAATTTGATTTGTGATTATTGGTTTTCAGCCTCTTTTCTAGTAATTGCTTTTAAGTCTGTACGTTATCTCCAATCTTAGCCTTGGATGAATTCCTTAAATATTTCTAATTTATGTTTTCTTCTGTGTCTCATAGGTAATTGAGAAGTATACTACATAATTTCTTTCTTTCCTTGGGACAGGGTCTTACTCTGTTGTCCAGGCTGGAGTGCAGTGGCATAATCACGGCCCACTGCAGCTTTGACTTCCCAAGCTCAAGCGATCCGCCTGCCTCAGCCTCTCAAGTAGCTGGGACCACAGGCATGCACCACCATGCCCAGCTGATTTTTTTAAATTATATTTTTGTAGAAACAGGGGTCTATATTGCCCAGGATGGTCCTGAATTCTGAATTCCTGGGTTCAAGAGATCATCCTGCCTCAGCCTCATAAAGTGCTGGGATTATGGGTGTGAGCCACCATGCCCAGACAACTACATAATTTCTAAGCAGTTACAGATTTCCTAGTAATCCATATGGCTTCATTGATTTCTAGCTTAATCCTACTGTTTTCAGAGAATGCACTCATTTTGATTTCTACTCTTTGTAATGTATTAGGGCTTTATGGTCCTTTATGTGTCCAGTTTTGGTAAATGGTTTATACAGCATAAAATGAATTACATTTTGTCATTGTTGGTTAGTGTTTTATGTATCCCAATTAGATCAAGTCTGTCACCTTTTCTATATTCTTTGTGATACTGGCTGTTCATGCCATCAGCTAATATGAGTGGTATGTCTTCCAGTATGATTATAGATGACTTTTCTCCATTTAGTTCTGTCAACTTCCACTTGATTATATTTTGAATATAAAATTAGAATTGCTACATAATCCTGTTGCCTTTTGGACTGATCTCTGTAGAATAATGTCTATATTCGAATATTCCAAAAATGTCTATATTCGAATCTGTAGAATCTCAGGTTACATGGGAAAAGGAAATTAAGATAGCAGACAGAACTAGATTGTTAATCAGCTCATCTCAAAATAGACTGATATATCCTGAGTTTCCAGGTGGGCCCCATATAATCACAGGGGTCCTTCAAAGTGGAAGAAAGGAGGCAGAAGAGAGAACCAGAGAGCGAGCAGGGTGAACATAACTCTACCCAATGTTGCTGGCTTTGAAGGTGGAGAAAGAGCGGCATGAGCCAAGAAATGTGGGTGGCCTCTAGAAGCTGGAAAGGGCAAGGTAACAGCTTGTCCCCTAGAGCCTCCAGAAAAATATGCAGCCCTATTGACATAAGCCCAGCGAGACCCATTTCAGATTTCTGAACTGCAGAACTGTAAGGTAATACATCTGTGTTGTTTTAAGCCATTAAGTTTGTGGTAATTTGTTACAGAAGGAAACTATATGCAAACTTTTTCATTAAAAATCACTTTCTATCTCTAATAATGCTTCTTGCCTTGAAGTCGACTTTGTCTAATACAATCACCCTTGGATATTCACAGGGGATATACTTGGCTTCAAGACCGCCGAGTATACAAAATCTGTAAATGAGAGTCCTCTATATAACAGTATTTGCAAATAATCCATACACATTCTCTTGTATACTTTATCTTTAGATTTAATACCTAATACACTGCAATGTATAATTGTTATGCTGTATTTTTTTTTTTTTAATTTCAAATAATTTTGAGCCACAGTTGGTTGAATCACAGATGTAGAACCCACAGACATGGAGGGCCAACTCTTACTTTCAAAGATGCACCAACTTTCTTTTGGTTAGTATTTGCAGTGGTGTATCTTTTTCCAACTTTTAAATGTAAGAACACAGGAATATTAAGAGTATCTTTTGTATACAACAGTTAGGATTTTATTTTTCTTTCAACATGTTATAAATGCCATTTCACTGTCTGGCTTTACCACTACTTCTTTGAAGACAATGCCCCCCCAGTCCTTCCTCTGTGCTTTTAATATATTCTCGTTGTCTCTGGATTTCAGTAGTTTACTATTTTTGTCTGGGTGTGGTTTTCTTTGCATTTATCTTCTGTGGGGGTTTTCTGAGCTTTTTGAATCTGTGGCTTGATTTCTCTCATCACTTTCAGAAAATTCTGGGCTGGTACTTCTACTTTTCCACTCTACATTATCTCTCTTCCTTGGATTCCAATTAGATGAATGGTAGATCGCTTTGCTGTGTACCACACGTCTCCAACACAATGGCCAGTTAAGTTTCACTGTTTCATTTCTGTACTTCAGCTTAGTATTTTATATCGACCTGTTTTCCAGGAGCAGTTTTCCTAATATTCTACTTCTTCTCCCACCCACCAACCTTGTTTAATGGAGCGCTGACATAGCAAGACTCCAGGAAAATGGAATTGTTTCTCAAGGTTTTTGACTTGCGTCTTGGTCTCCCACCCTAGGCAGCTTAGAAGTTCACCAAATGTTTTGAAGGGTAAATAGTGCGGTTTAGCCCTCTCAAGTCTCCATTGTTATCACCCCAGCCCTTTGAAAGTGCCCAAATTCCACAGGTTGTTATTCAGCAGCGGACCCCTCACCAGGCAAAGCTTGAATCTTGCTGTGCCCAGTGGAATAAGCAAACACCCGCCACCGACCTGCAAAGAACTGCTGCAGATGACCTCATTGTAGTACTCTCAAATCTTAGCATTCCACATTGATTTAGGGGCTGATGCCTCTCAAGGGATAAATGTGGGTATCCACCTATTACAGTTATTGACACAGTTCTGAGTTGGCCTCAAGGCCCTTCAACCCAGGAGCAGAAATGTTCATATTTACCACCCCCTGACTTTGTCATTTATTTTTCAAGCAAACTCACTAATCCTGTTAAATTTCCCACATTCTGGAACTGGCTGATTCTTAGTGGGATGTTTAACTTGTTCCATTAATTCTCACATTTTATGTAAAGTAGCAGATCTAAAGCTTCAATTATATGTGTATATATATGTGTGTGTATATATGTATATAATTAAATACAGGTGCTTTCAAACTGATTCATGTATTATACATTTCCCTTTGATTTGATTAGGTCCCCGATCCCCGCCCCAAGGCAGAACAGCATAGGTATATACAGGTATGCAGACAGATCACTTCTGTTTATCTCCGGGAACAAGAGACAGGGAACCAGGAAATGTAAAACAAGGAAGAGGAAAAACCAATCGAAGGCTGCGTTAGAGAGCTTATGACCATAGGACACCACAGCTCAATCTTTTTGGGGTTCTTTTTGAGGAAGTAGGTATAGAGCACGTCGGAACTAGTCTGCCCTGAGACAAGGAAGAGAGTGTTTATTCAGCCTGTCATGTTCACAACTGCTGAAGGGCTGCCCGTGGGCTAACGCCCTCTTACCCAGGTCTGTGTGGGCATCCTGATAGTAGTGCCAGGGTAAGTCCCAGAGCAAAACTGTAGAGATATTCAATGGATCCGAAGCACGGTGCTGTCAGGTTACACTTGTACGCAGATTGCTGGCTCAGAAATAGCCCGAGCACAAAGATAGGCTGATGGATGTACCGGACGTATTTCATGCTCAATCTCATTTTCTTACCCTGTGGTCTCAACAGCATTGATATATATTTCCACGATCCCTTCTTTGTTTCATTAAGGGCTGCAAGTACTGTTTTTCTAATTTTTATCTTTATTAGGTGGAATTTTCCAGCATGAGCTTTTTGACTACCCTACAGGTTCAATTTTTGTGGCTTTAGAGATTGGTAGGATATCAATTTGTCCTGAAAATTGATAATAAAGGGAAGTGAAATCAAGCACTTAGCCTGCCTTTCTTATACAGTGATAAAGTTATTAGTTAAAAATAGACACATATACAAATATTTCATGCTCAAACTGTCTCATTTTTACATGGCCTGTAGAAATCCCTTCAAGTTGGCTTGTATAAACCTTTGACAGAATCCCAAGTCTTTAAGAGCTTCCTTGAATCCTGGACATCTTGTAGCAGTTTTGCAAATAAGTTCTTATTCCTTTTAATTGCAAATGAAAATGAAAGAACACAATCTGGATACTAGTGGTGCTCATGGTTACTGAACTGTAATCACTCTAGACCTTTTCATGTAGACAGGAGTGGGAAATATTTACTGTTTACAAAGAAAAAGAAAGCATATAATGAGGTTTTCATGTCAAATTTAAGATGACTGGGGTCTAAGGTTACATGATTACTAATCTATAATATACTTTTAATAATAATGATATCAAGATTTTGTGAAATTAATCATGAAAAACCACATTCATGAATCTAAGATTTTTTTTTGTCCTTAGTGTATATCCTACTGACAATGTAAAATTGAACTACTGTGTTTGAGTTATTTGAGGTTACTTTTTCTCCATGTAGTAGTTCACTGTCCTCCCCTTCCTCTCTCGGGAACTATTTTATTCATTTTGTAGATATCCCCCAATTGCTTCATTTTGAAATATAAGGAAATATGTACATATATATAATTGTAATCATTCTCCTTTTGTTACCCTCAAAATAACCAGATAAACTACATGTGCTTTCTATGTTCTCTCTCTGAAGATCATTCCAGTTTAGTAGAGAGATCCTCACTCCTTTTACACTTGCGTAGTCTACACTGTTGTTTATTCAAACAATTCCCTATTAATGAACATTTGGATTGACTTTAATCTACTTTTAAAAAATAACCAGGGATACAGTTTGTACTTAATACCTAGAAGTTAAAAAAACTGGCACTGTCATTCTCTTGACCACTCTACTGATCCTCTGACTTCTTAAATTTCCATTTCCTCAACTGTAAAACAAGGAATTGTAATATGACTTACCTATCCGGGTTAAATAAAATTGCAATTCAAAAAGTATTCCCATATATGTTAAGAAAAACTGAAATAGCCACTAAAATGCATTTAAAATAAATAAATTATGTAATTATCACCACACAGATTCACCATACAGCTCATTTCTATTTAAGAGATTCATATTGAGACAATGACAAAATAGACTGTGTCCACAGAAAGATCGAGAGAGTGAAATTTCCAGAAACTATCTTAGATGAAATAGTTGAAGAATTCAGTTAAATATTTATTGAACAAATGCAGAATAAATGAACTAAGGGCTGTTATAACCTGAAGTTCCAACAAACAACTTCAAATATTCAGAGGGCTGTCACACACAGAATGAAAGACTTGCTCAGTATTTCTCCAAAGGGCAAAACTTGAGCCAAGGGATAAATATAAGCAACCAATGGGCTGCAGGATACTTGTACAAAGTGTATCATGTACCTTCATAGCTTCTTTGCCCATACAATGCATTCCACACTTAAGTTTTCCCTTCTAAAAGGAGACAGCGCAAGTTAATACGTCTCATGAATGTCTTAAATAAGTTGCATTTTCATGGCAAGTCCTCCACTGCCAGCAATGGATATACTCACACTATTGGAAAAAATCTAAAGTCAACAAACTGGTTTAGTATGGAAATGGTCTATTTGTTCCTCAGCTATGTTTCTGTATTTTACATTAGTGGCTCTCAGGAGGTGGGGGTGAAAAGAGAGCATATTCTCCAAAGAGCGTGAATCATAATCCCCAGGGATTCCGATACTGTGCCTGGGGACAGTCTTGCTTCAAGTTCAAATGAGTCATGACAATTATCAACCAGTGGTACAGGTAAGAGTGTGGCATGTGCTGGGGCAGACAAAAGACAGTTGACAAACACTATTCTACATGAAACAGGAAACCTTATTTTATGAGTCACCAGAAAACTAACTGTAATACTGACGGGCTCCATCCAGATTATTAAGTATTACAAAATGAGAACTGTTTCAACAACTATTCAGCATAATGTTTAAGGACAAAATGTATACAGTATATTTTATATTCTATATGTATTTTATCACATACTCAGTAAGGAATGCTGAGGTGCTTAAGCCATCCAATAAACTGAAAATACAAACTTTACATTTCGATATCTGTCAGTATACAGGATTCTGAAGATGAATCTTGAACTCAGAGTGATAAATCAGTTTTCAAGGAAAGCCACATAATCCGTCAGTCTGGCTAACTGCTGTTCATTGGGTATTGGGGGAACTGGAGCAGGCTCTGTATGTTAAAGAATAAACACACTTCAAGTTAGATACCACTGTAACAAAGCTTTGGCCCCAACACCTATCTCCCCCAATGCCTTCAATTTTTAACAATAACTTAACTTTCTTAGATTTGTCCTGGTTTTAGACAAAATCTTACATCATAGAGCCTTGGACATTTTTGAAAAGCAAGTCAAGAAGTCCCAACTTTTATGAGTATGGTTTTACCTAACTGGTAGTAAAGGCATGTCTGATGTTGTTGTTATTGAAGTATTCTATGTAAAGGTTAAAGACACTTTTATCAAGCAACACCTCGTTTAAAAGATCACAGCTCTTCTTGAAAACACCCCTACCCATGCAACATTAAATTCAAGAAATAATTAGCATGCCTACCATGCCCCAGGCTTCACTGAAGAATATTAAATTGTCAATGAACCAAACAAACAAACAAACAAAAAATCCCACAAAGAACCTCAAGGAATTTACATTCCAACATTTAAGTTACTACACGTCAGCCTCAGGATGCCTTCTGAATAACAGTGCTGGTGAACAGCTCTGGCGGGCCTCCCCAACATGAGAATAAGAAGGCTCTGCAGCTGGCCCGGAGGAGACCACCGCTTCAAGGCAAGCTCTAGGGGAGCCCAGTTTCACTCTTGTAACCAGATGTATTATTACACATTTATGAAATTTAACCTCTGTTTACAAGGTAAGAAATAGATACACACACTCACACACACATATACATATATATACTACAAAAAAGAAATTAGGAACAATGAGACATTTAAAAAATGTGCATATGAAAATATATACCTGATAAGGGAATAAACTTGTTAAAGGAAACATCCAGGGCCCCTGCAACTAAATTAAAAAAAAAAAAAAAAGTACAGCTCAATTTACAAGTCATTGTAAAGACCTTTCATAGAACATGCGATTTTCAGCACAACATGCATTTATGGCCATTTATTTCTCAAACAGGGATAATAACCGTCCTCTATTATAAGTCTTCATTATACTACTCTTCCCCACTATCTCACTTGACTGGGATCGTGTCTTCCCACTCTTTGTAACTCAAAGGACTGAACACATTGAGAATCCTTTACTGTACGTTCAACAATGTCTAAACGTAGGCATTCCGAGTAGGTGGAAGGAACTTTGGGTTGGTGTGGATGCAGGCGGGTTTATGGAAGTGGGCATTAAGCCTGGCTCGAAAGACCGGCAGAAAAGGACACTCCTGGTCAGCAGAAGAAGAGAAACGATCAGGCAGGAAGGAGTGTGGCTCACTTCCGACAGCAAGACTGAGGGGCTGGGAATTCACATAATGACAACAAGGGCAGGTCACAGAAATTAAGGCCTTAAAATGAGGGCTAGAGAAGTTAACTCTGTGAAAGTGGAAGCCACAGGAAAAGTGCCCGTATGACTTGAGAGCAAGCAGAAAAGGGGGCCAGTTGAATATTTAGGGTTTTTTTAAATACAGACAACAGTTTGGATATGAAGGATAAGCTCAGTTACAAATGGCTCCATAAAAGGATGGAGATTAATATTTAGTAAAAACTATGGTGTAAGAAGGACCATGAAACACCTATATAAAATCATTTATATACAGGAAATACATTTTTAAGAGTTTAAACGAGCTGATCCTTTCTACCCTGTCTACTATGCTTTATTTAAAATGTGTTATTTCCATCATTAGAAATAACTGACGTTAGAAAATAAATCACAATCTTTAAAAGATTCTTTCTACCCTGTCGACGCTTTATTTAAAATGAGTTATTTCCATTATGTTAGTATAGCAGAATTTTATATGCAATTATCAAAAATCAAAGCCTGAAAACCGGAAGCAGTCTTAGAAGAGTTCAATGCTGCATAAATGGGTGAAAGCTCCACCTACCTGGCTTTCTGGGCAGAACCATTCTTGTGGTGGAATCAGCTTGCCATCCTTGTTCTAATATACCTAAAAAAGTATATTATACATAAAGATGCGGAAAGAATAAAACACCCCACAAAATCCAAAATTTGTCCATGACATTAGTTGTACAGAAGACCTGATGTGTTTAGTATAACCCATCGTCTGCATTTTTACTAGAAAGATGTATCACAAAAAGCATGGAAACTTATTATTGAAATATTTCTGAAACAGGTATCAAAGCCTCATTTTTCTATTAGGCTGCTATAATCATTAAAAGATGGTTAGTTTTCTGTCAAGAATACATTACAGTATTAACCTAATCAGTATTATTTGAAACAAACATAAGGAAAACTCATATAGTGCCTTTTGTGATCATCATATCAGTAATAACAAAAATGGCAATAAGTAAAACAGCTTCCATATACAGAAGGTTTACCTGTAGGTATCAGACTACGTGCTTTTATAGGGATCATTTTATGTAACCACCACAACTCTATGAAGTGGGATATAGGGCCATCATTTGACAGGTATGGAAAATGAAGTTGAGGGAATTCAAGTGATTTGTCCTAAGTCACATAGGCACTAGCATCAGGGATGGGTGGTACCAGGATTCACATCCAGGTGGTCAGCTGAGAGTATGAGCTCTGAAGTATGTTATATATAGAAAATAAATGACGGATCAATTTTAAGAGCCAAAAGAATAAATAAAAGTATTTGATAACTTAGTGTAAGAACTTTCATTAACCTCTTCATGTATCTAGAACTATGCTAGGCCCTGGAAATTTAGGATGTGGTGCTTGATGGAGCTCATATTGTAGCTGGAAAATCAAAAATGTCAATCATGGTAAAACAATGCAACAAGGTGTATACAATATTCTTTTTTTTTTTTGAGACGGAGTCTCACTCTGTTGCCCAGGCTGGAGTGCAGTGGCACAGTCTCGGCTCACTGCAACCTCCGCATCCCAGGTTCAAATGATTCTCCTGCCTCAGCCTCCCAAGCAGCTAGGATTACAGGTGCCTGCCACTATGCCCAGCTAATTTTTTGTATTTTTAGTAGAGATGGGTTTTCACCATGTTGGCCAGGCTGGTCTCGAACTCATGATCCACCTGCCTTGGTCTCTCAAAGTGCTGGGATTACAGGTGTGAGCCACTGCACCCGGCCAGGTGTATACAATATTCTATAGCAACGAGCAAGAGGAAGGATTAGTCTGGGCATCAGCTGAGAAATGAAAATGCGAAGTTAACATTTGGAGAGACCGGCAGGTAGGTGTGAGTGGGGAGCAAGCGCGCGCCTAGGGTATGGCTCCAAAATGGCAGGGAAAACGGGCTGAAAAGGGATGTGGGGATGATGCCGCCTTTACCAAATAAGGGCGAAATAAGGATTTCCAGATATGAGTAAAGAGGCCAATTAAGACATATTTTTGTAACCAATTGTGTGGATATTCATGCATTTGCTTGCCACAGAACTATTAATATGCTTGACTGCAAGGTGCCTGCTGCGTGTTCCACAACACCTGTTTCATATCACCTCTCAAAAAACACTGCCTGGACTCCAAAAGCATATTCTGTTCCAAGCGTTTCAGAGGAGACTGTGAACCTACAATTCACACTTCCATTTTCCATTTTCCTTGTAAAGTAAAAAGTAAGCCAAAAATACCTTTCACAGCCTCTTCTACAGGAAGTCCAACAAAGGCTGCAAAATCATCAGCGATGATTGAAGTATACGCTTGAGAGACCAGGGCGAAGGCGCGTCTCCTTGTTGCATCTATTGTGGGAGTGCAGGGTTGGCAAAGAGTGAACCAGGGGAGCAGGTATTTTCAAAACACATCGCTAAATCACACCACTGTCCTTGTCCAGTTTTCATAAGCAAGACCAGATGAACCCAAAGATTTCTGTGCTTATAGATACAAATATATACGTCCAGTATGTAAAGGGGGTTCAAATATTGCTGAATAAAAAAATACATTTCTTACACTTCTCGGATAAAAAATCTCAGATAATGAAAATTACAAAGATGGAAAAGGGTTACTAAACACAAGGCTCTACCCCTAAGAAAATACAGTTCGTTTACGCAATGGGGGTATAAATGTACTTATCTTATTTCATTCACAAATGCTGGAATCAAAGCAGCAGAAAACTGATTTGTGTAATCAGCTGTCCTTTTCAAAAACATCTCTAATACAGGACCACACCTGGGAGTCATGGAACAGATCCTGTAACTGGGGCACTCTTCAAGTCTGCATCAAACTCTTGACTGAATTAAGGTTCAAACTCCTAAATTCCCACCCTGAAAGAATGAGTCTGAGACTGCCAAACACCACCAGCAACAAAAACTTTCCTGAAAATGGCATTTAGGATTGTCCCCAGGCTCACATACCCACATAAATCAATTCCGGAGTGATGCAGAGTTGAGCACTGTGGAACCAGCTGGCCTTTCTTCCTGTGCAATGCTTTGTGGTAACGCAAGAGCTCCTCCACCTGGCTGTCCACATGCTTAGGAAATATTCTGGGTCTTACTTTCGATATTTAATAGGCCAGTGGACGTATGTAAAACAAACACCCTAACGTATTTAAAATCTTCTCTCCATTCCTGGGACATTGTCAAACTACACCAATTCCCTCAGACGCCCTTTGTGTCAAACTAGTGCACTGGCTCTCAGACAAGTCTTACACCTTCTCCCACTGGGGCTTTTGGTTTACGCTGTTCCGTGGCCTGAAATGCCCTCCTGTCTGCTCTCTACCATTCCTAAGTCTGTTTATAATTCATTACGATCTCTGCCCTTCTCTAAACTCAGCAGTATCGTTTACACTTCTACTTTAACAAGCAACTTTCCACCTACGCGGCAGACACTGTTCCACCTACCCGCTTCTTTTCAATTCTATTCCAAACTTCTCAACAGGAAGGGCTATTATCTTTATAGTCCCCCAAACATCTAGCATCTCCAGTGAAATCTATGCCAAATACATGCTTGTTGACAGTATCACAAGGACCAAAATGGGGCACAACTCCAATACTCAGGCTTTGTTTTCTCAGATTCCTTAAAAACTGCTGACACTCCTGTGCCTTCCCTTCATACTGAGCCCGACATCCTCTCCAGCTTTCACTCAGCCACTGTCTGTCCGCTCTTCCTTCTGTGGCTTTACACTTCTTATTGTAGGTTCCTTCCTTCCTTTAACCAGCCTGTAACCTAACAGACTTTACAACACCAAGAAACATTTTCTATTAAGGCTGCAGACATTCAATGGATAAGAACTGAGCCAACAATGGAAAAGAAATATATATTTTTTAGATAAACAAAAGTATACACCATAAAACTATATTCAATTGGTAAGCCAACCAGATTTCAAAAACATTTACTTCAGTTCAAATATTCTGATCATATTTTCAGAGTGGGGAATAAAACAGGAATACAATAAGAATGGAGGAGATAAACAAAAGGGAGAGAAAAGTAAAAAGATGTAACTGGAAAAGGAAAGAAAAACATGCAATGGGAGGCAGAAGTGAGTTGACGAAGCAAAAATAAAGGCTAAGTGTTCTTAGTCTCAGAAGCTGCAATATCCACTTGGCACGAATCACATCTACATTCCAACTAGTCACTCTGTGATCCCCAAGTTGTGAAATCTGTAACCTCAGGCCCCAGAATGACATGCTGGAAGATGGAATAAATTGAGCCAGCACCTAATATCTGTGGCAGTTGTTGATGGAACACATTTTTGGTGAAAACAGAAATGCTAACAGAACGCAAATTCAGTTGTTCAACAAATACTCAAGTGCCACTCATCCATCTCTGCCTGTGCTGGAGACAGAAGGGAAGAGGAGCTAGTCACTCCCATCCTTTCGAATCCTCTTCTGTCCTTCCCAGCCATGCTGTAAGCCAGGGAGGTTGGCCACCAATGCCTGTGGCACCTGAGCTCTCCTGCTTTGGCAAATGGGGGTCTATCAGGTCACAGGCTGGGAAAGAAGGTCAGGGAATTTACTTCCCATGTCCCTTCCCTGCCTTGCTCCAGCTGACCTTCTGTATCCATCCTGTGGGGCTGCCCCAGAAACACTGGCCCGTCGCCTTGCCCTTTCAGGCCTCAGATGAGAATGGCTACTGTCTCCCTAGTTCCTGGGTACTTCCTCAGCCCTTGTTTCCTGCAAAAATACTTTTCGCTAGCTTCTCTTCAGTTAAGTCATTTTCAGTTTTTTAATAGGACTGTGCCTAATTTAGAATAGAATGGAAAGAGATCTTAGCTAGAAAATAAGTTTCTAACATGTTAAGAAGCAAAATGTTAAATTCATCAGTAAGACCAATCTGTTAAGAGACTATCCTGACCTGGCTGCATTTTACAAAGGAAACCACAGTACCATTCATGAATCTGGAGATTTGTAAAAGTCTCAGGATATGTTCAGGAATATTGTAGTACTTTAGAATAAGGTATATTTTCACAAATGAGGAAAATGAGACACTGAGGAGTCACCCCAGTAAGTGAAAGAATCAGAATTTAAACTCCAGAAGCATGGATCCAGAGTTCAAACTCCCACATGGTATGCTGTATAGCCTTTCCTGGGTCTACTGAACTTCTTTCCAGGAATTCTCAATCTCATGGAATTCAGTGAAAGGAGGCTCTGGGAAGGAATACAACTACAGATCCCATGGTGCACAACGAATGCTTGCTGAATGAGTAAAGAGCCCCAAGCCCAGTCCTGCCAGTGAACCCGCTGTGTAACACTGGGAAAAGGCACATGGCCTGTGACCGCACCACCACAATCACAAGGCTGAATCACAAGGATACTATGAAAGTCCACTGTAACACCAATTCCTCAGGCCTTATATGAAGAGGCTTCCGGTGCTACTTTCTGAAACTGCCCCTGCCATACCTGTGCAATCTTCTTCCACACTCCTCCTTTCTCATCTATCTGCCTGCCTTAGGATTCTGCTCATTTCATTCACATTTAAAGAAGCTGCCTCCTGTTTTGTCACTGACATTGTTCTGTTTTATGCTGCTAAGAATTTTACCATGCCAAGGGAATTATGTGCATCTCAGAAACAATCTTTGCTGTCTGCTGCCCTGTAAAGCTGATATCCCTTAGCAGAATGATGAACAGTTATTAAAAAATTCCTGCTCCCTGACATCCTCCACAGCAGGAGGGCATACAGTGAAGGTGGATATTAACTGTGGAAGTAAGAGTAACAGTAAGAAATAAGAGTACACAACAACATAAAACAAGATTATACAATTTTATAAAGAGTGAACTAGGACGACTGGAGGCAAATGTTAAGGGTGGGAGAACGTAGAGAGGCAGGGAATGAGATTTTATTGTGGGATCAGTGCTCTGTCACACCAGGCTTGTGATCTTTCAAAGCAATTAAAAATGCATTTGAGCATCTATGTATTAAACTGATTAGTTACAAAATCCAGAAGCTTAAGACAACACCTCAAAGGCTGAGGCTGACAAAATTCAAAGAGCAGTCTCTATTTTCACATCTCTACAAACCCATACCTTAAACTTGTTACAATATTACAAGATCTCATTTTAATAGCAAAAAAGCCCCAAAAAACAAAAAACAAAACAAAACTTAAAACTGACGAGCAATTTCTATCTAGAATTAAGAAACAACAAAGGCACAGGAGCCAATGTAATCTCAAGCAACAAAAAATGAAGAAGCATGATTAGGGCAAATCTGAAAAATTTTGAAAACTGCTCTTTTCACCTATCAAAAATATCTACTTAAACACACATCACTGATTTATTACTTCAACACTGCAGCACTTAGGGACCAAGTCTCATCTAATTTCATTTTTAATCACAAAGAAACACTACCTCTAAGTGCTTCCATAATTGGCTGGACCGTCTCAGACCACTGGTGAGCGTTGATGGTTGTATAGATCCCAGGGAAATCTCTCTGCCAGATTCTTTGTCCTACTGACCAAATTCCCCCAAGTTCAGAATTTGCCTGCAATAAATATTATTGCCTTAGAGGTATTCATTCTGTAAATGTACCAATGATTGTATCTTAAAACAAAATACCAGAAATGATATAAAACTTGAAACAAAATACCAGAAATGATATAAAAACTTGTTAGTTACATCATTAAAACCTAATTCAACATTTATTTTAAAAGATGCAATTACTTTTTCAGCCCAATCACTATCAAAAGGGTTTTTAAACACTATGAGCAGTAAGGTAAAATTTATCTGTAGGCCTAATACACATTTTTAATTACAACAGCAAATTAAGGCATGAGAAAGTAGTCCAAAACCATTTCAGAATTAAGCCTGGGGACTAATTAGCTTAAGTGTTGTTTTTAAAGATGCTGTCTTTGAATTTCATAGATATATTATGTATATATATTTAGGTCAAAAGTAATAGCAAAATGGTTAACAATAGAGACTGTCAATTTAAGATGTCACACATTGTAGCCTCTCTAAGGATAGAGCTTCCACTAATATCATTGAAACTTATGTGCATAATTTATAGTTTTCTTTATTTAGCCAAAGAAGTTGAGGAATATTCCAATCTTACTTAACAGGATGTGTGAGGGAAAAAAAAAAAAAAAGTAAAAATACTAATCTGATCTCTTGATGAATATCGACAATGAACAAAAGTTGAGATGAATTCTTGGTAATATCCTGAGAATGTTAAAAATTTCACTTTACACTCATGTTAGACACATGGAATCATCTGACATTAAAATTTTACTTCATTCCACTTTGGAAGAACCTTTTCACAGGCTATTTCTTCTAATCTCCCATCCAAAATAAGAAATTTAAAATCCTAATTAGCAAAAATAATCTTACTGCTGTGAATCATTCTTAGAATATTCTTGTAAACAATGGCAGTTTCAAAATAAGTACCATTACAGGAAGCAACATAAACCGGTTGAAAATTACCTCGGCTGCTTCCGCCACCTCCAGGACCTTCCTTCATCTAAACTGGCTCAGCTGTTTAACTAGGGAAGCTGCACATAGAATTGTCTCAAGAAATCTAATCAGTAGGAACTGGGCACAAATTCTACATCATCCCAGCAAAATTCAAATTTCTGACTAGAGGACTCTGAAGATTTATTTTGAATCCTTAATACTAGTTTGATGACTATTTCTAGGATGTCAGACAGAAAACAGAAACTTAAAAAAGGTTGCCATTTAAGGGAATGTCATTACATTAAAGCAGTAAGGCAGGTTCAAAGGATACTTACAGATTTTATAGCAGGTGGTATTCTTTTCCAAAGATATCTTGCATTATTCCTAATTTATGCCACCACAAAGAAGAATAATCAATTAAAAACATAATCATCTCCGTAAATGTTAAAAACGATCAGGTCCCAAGGCAAACATTCAGAAGTATACTTTACATAACACAAAGTAAAATTTAGTGTTATATGAATTTGTTTTGGGGAAACAATAGTAGTTTTCCAGATAAAAAGGACATGAAATATTTTTACCAAAGTAATATTTTGCCATTTCTAGTGAACTTTTTAAAAAATAATAATCCATATCCCAAATTAAGGCAACAAACACGAGGACATATAGAACGGCCCAAATGATTTATTTGGATACAAAAGTAAACAAACTTATGTACTATGAAGGCTCCAGCATTCCCTGACAATAAGCCTGGTACATAACACTTCTCTCCCTGTCACAGTCCCTCCTACCAGTGGGTAGAGCTTCTGAGGCAGGAGTTTGTATGGGTTTGGAGGCTTGAACTATGACAAACATATAATGATAGTTTTACAAAAAATAAAAAAAAAAAACCAAACGTACATGTGTAATAAAAATTTCAATTTAGTTTTTAAAAAGATATAAAAGAAAGGTTTTGGAACAATTTAAAATAAAATTTTATCAGGAATGATCAGTGAGTCTACAGGAGAACTACAGGAGATTTTTTTTTTTTTTTTTTTGCACAGTTATGCTTTCTTTTTGAGACAGGGTCTCACTTTGGTTGCCCAGGCTGCAGTGCAGTGGCGCAATATCGGCTCACTGCAGCCTCGACTTTCTGGGCTCTGGTAATTCTCCCCACCTCAGCCTCCCGGGTAGCTGGGATTAGAGGCATGCGCAACCACATCCAGCTAATTTTTTGTATTTTTAGAGCAGATAGGGTTTCACTATAATCCCCAGGCTGGTCTCAAACTCCTGGACTCAAGCCATCCACTTGCCTCAGTCTCCCAGAGTGCTGGGATTATAGGCGTGTGCCACCACGCCTGGCCTAGGTTATGCTTTCTGACTTTTCCATGTGACCGTGAAATAGGAATAATTAAAAATTAAAAAAAACTTTCAAATCTCATACATGTTTGTAATGAATCTCTTGGCTGCAATCTTTTCTTTCCACTTCTTTTGTTTTATTAATATGAATAAAAGTATTTTAAAAAGACAAAGATTAAATGAATTTACTGACATAGTTTCTCATAATAAATTGAAATGTTTTCTAGAAAGTATATATAAGACAATGACGACCTAATCATAATTCATTAAGCTATGATTCAATAGGAAATAGATGTAATAGTTATTATAATAAAAGAGGTAGCTCGTTGTGCCTATGTTTGGTGGTGCTACTTCAGGGCAGAAATATTTCCATATAACTTTTGAGAAACCTGCTGCTCTTGGCTTTAGGTTAAACGTACTTACATGTCATTATGGAGCAAATATAAAGCTAGAAGCTGACCATACACTGGGGGTGTAGCAATTCCTCCAGGGGCCTAGAAGGCCAAAAATGAAAACAAAACAAAACAACACAAAATTTAAAAAACCTCACTTACCCTTTAACTTTCATTTTTGAAATAATATTTTATAAATGCTAATTAAAAAGTAAGCCTTTTTAGTCTAAGATTATAAATAATCTTATAGTCCTAGTATAGATTTAGAAACAGCTTAGAGAAGTATTAAACACGAAAATCCTGAGTATTAAGTTTATATTCGTCATCAGCTTTGATTTATCTCCCTTTGGGCCTCAGTTTCTCTATACATTCAAGAATATGTAAGAGAATCCCCTTCCCCAGTTCTCAAATTCCCATTTAAATGATCTTACTAGTATAAGAAACAATTTCGACAGATTCCTGAAGCATTCTGATTCTGCCCATTACATCAAGCGTCCTGAGTAAGAGACAGAAAATCACCACAGCTGCGTTGCAAAGACAATTCTTTCAATTTTAACTCAATTGGGAAGTGTCTATTGTCTATTAGTGAGCTGCTTCTTCTGGATGTTGTTTCCTTTAGTTAATTTTAAAACTAATGATATAAACGCTTTTTAAGTGTCTAAGAAAAACGTTAACTTTAACAGCTGCATAACTTTCATTTGTCTTACTAAAGACAAAATGGCAAGCTTACTTGACAACATTACGAGAAAGGCTCTGTGAGTTAAGAAAAGGTTACAATGGTCACATCTTTCTTGGTGTGTGTGTGTGCTTTGGGGTGTGTGTGTTGGTGTGCGTGTATATACCAAGATCTTTAATAAAATCCACATTACTACTCTCTCCCAACCCGATACTAGGAATGAAAGATGTCTAATTAATATGAGCTTATCGATAGGTGCTGGAGCAAAGATGCACAGGGTTTTCGGGATCACAAGCTGAAGACATATAACAGAAAGGTCCCGGTGACTTAGGGGAGACCGGGCCCGGTCGCAGCAGGCCGCGACGGTCAGGGCTCCACACGTCCACCTCCCGCGCCCGCCCCGCGAGCTCCCAAAGCCCGCGAGCCTCAGACCCCGTTACCCTGGAAACTGGTGCCGCCCCGGGGCCTAAGACTACTCTGCAGTTTTTCCCCGGGAACGCAAAGGGCTACCTCGAGCTCCTGGTTCTCGCACTGATCCAGCAACTTTTTGAAACTGAAGGCACTTTCCGCCATCACCGCCACTGGCATCTTCCCGGCCGGTCTCGCCGCCGCACCTTCCAGACAGCCAAACCCCAGACCGTCCCTCGGGCGTCGCGCCCGCGATGACGTTTAAAGCCGCCGTTGCCGCCGAGCGCCCCTGCGTACCAGACCGTCAGTTCCGGGGCGCCGTCAGACATTGCCGCGGCCGGGCTAGGGCGCCGCCGTTCTGGCCGGCTCTCTCGGTGCCCTGGAGGACCTGGCCGGCTCGGCTGGAAGCTGTGCTCAGAGCGCACGGCCGCCCCCTGGCAGGGAGGAGTTCGTTGCACTTTTGAGGGTTCTTCACGAAGATAACCAATATATAGAAAACAACAGCAACAGTAACGCATTTTTAAATATTAAAATTGCTAGGGAACACGACGGATCCTGCAGCTGCTCGGCTGTCCTGGTCAAGTCCGTGACCCTAGGGCTCCGCTCCGTGCCCTGCATACCGTAGGCGCTCACGAAACGTTCGTGAGTTCCCCGCTTTGAGGAGACAAGCTTAAAAACTCGGAATGTAAGGTTCGAGTCTCCCCAGACCTGCTTGTTGGGTAGCGTCCCCCGCCCGGGCTCGCCCCGCACACCCCCCCACTCCGGAGCCACGCTTCTCCAGCCGGGACCCCTGCCTCCTTCCGCGCTATTCGCCGAACCGCAGCCAGAGGGAATTTTTTTTTCTTGCCTGAAACGTAGAGCAGATCTGGTTACTCTTATGCACAACGCCCTGAAATCCAGGGCCCTTCCTATCGCTCAGAATTTACATCTAATTCTCAGCTCTCCCCCGGCTTGCTGTAGCCATCCTGGCCTCTTCAGTTTTAGTTTCGCACAGCACTGATTGTTAGCGAACATTATATATTGCATATTATTTATTAACATACTTGTTTTTTACATCCCTCACTAGACCCCCAGGAAAGAGGCTTTGATTGGTCCCTGCTGCAAGGCTGGCTGCATAATTTGTGGGGCTCAGAGAAACGTGCAGAGCTTCCTTGTTCAAAAAACAGAAGGAAAGTGACTTTAAGGTCATAAAATATAAAACTTTCTCTTTCCTCTCAGTTTCTCTCTTTTCATAGTGTTTTTATGGGTTATTTAATATCATTCCAAGAAAAATTTAGATTTAAATTGTTAGCATGAAGTTTATCATTCATCTTTACGTTGTGCAATGCCAGTTTTAAATACTAATATAAGTGCACTGAACTCATATGTGGAATCACAGAAATGATACAATTTGTACTTCATAGCTTATGCATGCGTATGTATTTTGTTTTTACCAGAACCACGCTGCACAAAGTGAACTTACCTGTTTTCATCGCACTTTATATGCACGAATTCTACCTCCACTCTCGACCTGGGACTCACTCATGAGTAAGGAAGGACTGAAAGGCAAAAGGACTATGGACTGGCCTTTTGGCATAATCAGGTGTTTAATATAAAGAAGTGCACAAATAAGAAAAGATATGATATGTGTGATGGTTAATACTGAGCGTCAACTTGATTGGATTGAAGGATGCAAAGTATTGATCCTGGGTGTGTCCGTGAGGGTGTTGCCAAAGGAGATCGACATTTGAGTCAGTGGGCTGGGGAAGGCACATCCACTGTTAATCTAGATGGTCACCATCTAATCAGATACCAGCACAGCTAGAAATATAAAGCAGGCAGAAAAATGCGAAAAAAGTGACTGGCCTACCCTCCCAACCTCCCAGCCTACATCTTTCTCCAGTGCTGGGTGCTTCCTGCCCTGGAACACTGGACTCCAAGTTCTTCAGTTTTGGGACTCGGACTGGCTCTCCTTGCTCCTCAGCTTGAAGACAGCCTATTGTGGGACCTCGTGATCATGTGAGTTAATACTTAATAAACTCCTCTCTTTCTCTTGATAGATGGATAGATATAGATATAGATCCTATTAGTTCTGTCCCTCTAGAGAACCCTGACTAACACAATATGGTTCCTTCATGTTTCTTAAGACATCATTGCCTTCTTTCTGCCTTCGAAACAAGTTTAGGCTCTAAGGGGAAAAGCGTGGCCTTTCAGGGCTCAGCACCCAGCTCACTCAGTTGTAGATACAGCACGAGTACCTTGTGCTCACTTTGAGTCTTGCTGGCCTTGCAACATCAGGGGTCCACAGGGAATTCAGTGTGCATGGTGCATTGTGAATGCTGTGTGGAACATCAGTGGCCACACGTAGAGGCCTGTTTCCCTGGCTTATGCTCCATTGTCTTGATGGACCTCACTTACAAACCACAAGTTTACAGATAAAATTATTAAGCATTTCAAGACAGAAACAGCCATCTTTGATTATTTTTGTGTAATCCACAACATCTCTGTGTGGAAATGATTGTTTAGTAATTCCCTGAATGGAATGTAAAGAAAAAAAAAACACTATAGTGTTCCTCATGGAACTGCCAACATTAAATAGAAGGGCACATAATCAGTTAGCAGAACTAGAGAGATCTTGGAGGAATAAAGCAACAGAGTTTCATCCATGGCTGCAAGGAAGGAAGGACTCAGGGTAGTATGATTGTCAGATCATTTGACAGAACTATGAAGAGCAGGATTTTGAAGCTTGTAATACTGATCTCTAACCCTTTTGGGGCAAAGAAATATTCAGTAGAAACGCTGCTTGGCAATTTGATCATTTAAAGGGAAAACTATCATGTGAAAGCTTTGGCAGGTGCTTTGGGCCTGTAAGAGGTGGAAACCTACAAAGGTGGCTCTTCGCTGAATAGAAAGTCCCGGTGAGGCTTTTGATACATATCACAGGTTAGAGGTGGAGATGGGGTTCACTTAAAGGACCAAGCTGTTCTTTAGAAGACCAGTACGGGAATTTGGGAGTTGGAGCCTGGGTGCCAGAAAGGGTAGGAAGAGAGTCCTTGCGGGGCAGAGAGGAGTCTCTGGGAGCAGTTGGGGTCTAAGGTGAGACCCTGCTCTGGACACCGGGAACTCCAAGTGGCAGTGAAGCACTGAAGCGTCTTCAGGGCTGTGATGGTTGACATTCAGTTTTAAATTGTCACTGTACTGTGCTGGCGCCACCTTTCCCCCCAGACTTTTGATAGTAAATGGGAGAAGTGAAAGGGTACAGGAAAGGGCAGTGTGGCGTAAAAGGCTGTCATCTCCGGAGGTGTGACTCAGAAGAGGGGTCGAGACTGGGAAGAAACAAGAAAGTCAATGAGAGGCACCCACAGGGACCCTCTGTTCCTGGAGATGCTGGCGCTGTAGTGGCAAGGACTGCGTTTCTCTCTGCTCTTGCAATGAGGGATGGGGTCAGCATGCTGAAGGGAAGCGTGCACTCTGAAAGCTGGAGTATGGGGGTCTCAGACCCGTTACTGCCCCGGTCTTCCCCTTGTGCAGGCGGACCCTTTTTCCATAACTCTTCTCTGGGAGAAGCACAGTGATGGAGGAGGCTGGAAATTGTACCAGGATGGCTGACACAGTTTGGGTGTTTGTGCCCTCCACGTCTCGTGTTGAAATGTGATCCCCAGTGTTGGAGGTGGGGCCTCGTGGGAGGCGATTGGATCATGGGGATGGATCTCTCACGAATGGCTTAGTGCCATCCACTTGGTGATGAGTGAGTTTTCCCTCTGGCAGTTCACATGACACCTGGTTGTTTAAAGGAACACGAAATCTCCTCCCTCTGTCTTGTTCTCTGTCTTGCCATGTGACATGTCTGCTCCCCCTTCACCTTCCTCCATAATTGGAAATTTACTGAAGCTTCACCAGAAGCAAAAGCCAGCACTATGTCTCCTGTACAGCCAACAGAATCATGAGCCAAAGTAGACCTGTTTTCTCCATAAATTACCCAGTCTCAGGTATTTCTTTATAGTAATACAAAAATGGACTAGCACAATGGCTAACTCAAAACTCTGAAATTTGATGTTTTTTGGTCCTATTTTCTACCCTTTCAAAGTTTTCTGCTCCATTTGCTCCTGGGGACTATAGAGTCATTTATTATGAATAAGGTCCCTGAAGAAGTGATGTCACAGGGCCTCAGGTGTGCTCCCCCCAGTTTCACACTGGTTGCCCATTTGCTTCGGGATCACAGTTTCCATAGCTGGGTCTACGGCTACATGATCTGTCTGATTCATGTCATGAAGAAACCACAGCAAGCATTTGTCAAGTGGCCCATCTCCCCGCCTGGGGCTCTTGGGCCCATGCACCTGCTTTTGAAGCTCTGGGGTGTGGATAAGTCGGCCAGTGTGGGACAAAGCATAGGAGAGGAGAACGGAGGATGAGCCCTGGTCACCTCTGTGCTCAGAACACTCCCATTGTGTCAGTCAGGATTGCAGCAAGAAACATGGAATGCTCAGTGTATTCATCTGTTTTCATACCATTATAAAGAAATACCCAAGAGTGGATCATTTATACAGGAAAGACGTTTGATTGACTCACAGTTCTGCATGGCTGAGGAGGCCTCAGGAAACTTACAATCAGGGCAGAAGGGGAATCAGGTACATCTTACATGGAGGCAGGTGAGAGAAGAGCAAAGGAGGAATTCTCAAACACTTATAAAACCGTCAGATCTCGGCCAGGTGCGGTGGCTCACGCCTGTAATCCCAGCACTTTGGGAGGCTGAGATGGGCGGATCATGAGGTCAGGAGATTGAGACTATCCTGGCTAACATGATGAAACCCCATCTCTACTAAAAATACAAAATATTAGCTGGGCATGGTGGCAGGCACCTGTAGTTCCAGCTACTCAGGAGGCTGAGGCAGGAGAACCCCTGGAACCTGGGAGGTGGAGGTTGCAGTGAGCCAAGATCGTGTCACCGCACTCCAGCCTGGGTGACCAAGAGAGACTCCATCAAAAAAAAAAAAAGAAACACCAAAAACTGTGAGATCTCATAAGAACTCACTATCACAAGAATAGGAGAATAGCAGGGGGCAACTGCCCTCATGATCCAATCACCTCCCTCCCTTGATACATGGGGATTACAATTCGAGATGAGATTTGGGTGGGGACACACAGCCAAACCATATCTCAGATTGGGAAATTTGAGGAAAATTTAATAAAATGGCTATTTACAAAGATATTGGAAAACTACAAAGGATAGCACCCCAGGGCTCACAATAGTATAACATCGTTACCACCCCTAGAGTTTAAAAAGTGCACGAAGGGGAGTTCTACTTCTGCGGACACACTCCCCACTGAAACAGCCATCGTTGGAGAAAATGGTTTCTAAGAAAACTTAAAAGTTTCTGGAAACTATCTTAAAGGTATATAAAAAATGAAAAAACAATTCAATAAAATATATCACAACTTGGTAAGAACAGAGAGAGTGTGTGGCATTTGAGCTGCAACCTGCTCCTTCCCAACCCATACCTAGCTCAGCTTGATAGAAGCTCCACTGTGGGTGGATGTGGTCAAGAAGATGGGGCTCACTCTCCCTTCTTCTCTCAAACAAGGGATAAGGTGTCTCACAAGAAGGCAAAGGATGCAAGCATTTCTCATCCACTCCAACTCCAAGTTTAAGGCCAAATTCCAGATAAGTGTGGCCAAGAGGCAGGAGGCTGCCTTCCTCCAC